CGCTCAGGAAAACCCAAGATGTTGAAAATAACGAAGTTTCATGAGAATCTCAGCAAGCAATTATTCATGGGTCATAGATGATGTGAGTAGAAGGGAAGCTTGATCATCAAACCTGAAGCCAAAATGCCAGGATTTTTAAACGAGATTCCTTTCAATCGGAATGGATGTCACCCTGTGTTTCTGAAGTTTTCTATTGTTTATGTGATAAGTTCATGTGTAAGAACTCGTGCCGTCTCTTCCATGTTTGCCTGGGGTGAAGAGGGCCCATTACCCTTTTCTTCTCCAAAGTTCCTCTGTGTGATCTGATGCTCACATGGCTTCCATTTCCAAAGTGTAGTCAGTCCTGCCCAGTGCTTTGATTACTGAAGATCCTTTTTGTCAGGGGTGTCGATTTGTATCCATGGTTGGGGGGGATGATAGGTGCCAAAATATTTTCGGCAATGGATCAAAGCAACCAAAGTGGTAGAAGCGTGTGGCAAGTTGCACCCCTCCCAAGCGCGTAGCCAGGATTTAATTTTAGGGGGGCGGTAGTGAGCACGCGAAGCGCGGTTTCTAGGGGGTTAGGTGCAGGGAGGGGGAATCCCCCCCCCCCGCACAAAGCGCGGAAGCTTTGACGTTTCACTAAATTATTAGAGAAAGAAGACGATTCGTTGGACCGTTCTTGACTCTTAATCCTTGTTTGAATCAAATTCCCCTTCCCCCGCGCGCAGCGCGGAAGCTCTTATGTTTCATTAGATTATTAAAGAAAGAAAACGATTCTATGTACCATTCTCGACTCTTAATCATTAATGTTTGAATCAAGTTCCCCTTCCCCCGCGCGTAGCGCGGAAGCTCTTACGTTTCATTAGAATATTAAAGAAAGAAAACGATTCTATGTACCATTCTCGACTCTTAATCCTTGTCTGAAATCATTTTTGCCCATTCCTGCGCGAAGCGCGGAAGCTTTCACATTTTATTACATTATTAGAGAAAGAAGACGATTCGTTGTACTGTTCTCTATATTAATCCTTGTCTGAATTCAGTTTCCCCACTGAAAATAAGTTGTGTCATAAATAAGTTGTGACATAATAATCTTTCTCCAAAAATGAAAAATGTTTTAGGAAATATCAGGAAATAAAATGAGTGAAAAAAATAAATATAAAGATACAATGACGTGAATTTTAAAAAGGGTGAACGGAAACAACATAACAACTAGTGAACTATTTTATAAGTCATACTAATGTCCGAAAATTTTTCTCCTTGTCTCCGATCTCATCACGAAATCGTCACAGAGTTAATTTATGTTTACACTGTCCAGGATTGTCTGATGTGCATTGCAGATTGCTACTTTTGTGCTTCGCGCTTAACATTTTAGCTCGTTGCTTTTGATGCTGCGTCTTTGCATTTGGCGCACTGCATTTCTATGATGCTGTTGATTGAACAAATTGAATAACTATCATCAATTCCTGATGAAGCCGTATGAGCGAGAATTCAATTTATTCTTGTCTCATATACGGTTGTCTTATTTACTTCGTATATATGTATGTACACTGTTGGTCATAATGGTGGAATATTTATTTTTACCCCAGTTTAGGGAAGGATTTACAAAAAATATTTATTTCTAATATATCTAGATAATGGCATACATTCTCAGATTTTATTGAATATTAATTTGCGAGTGTTTGTTTTGCGTGACTGCTTAATCATATGTGTGCTACTATGCTAATCAGCTAAGGGACCTACGTCCTTAAGTCATAATTGACAGTAATGAGGATTAATGCCTCACAAAAGGGCACTAATATATAGCTGATCGACACGATTTGTATCCTGGGGCCTCACAGTAACGAGGCCATTGCTTAGCCCCTGAATCATGATTGTACGCAGTGTTTGCTAGGGTACGCGGCCCCTTCCACAAATCCCTCAAAACGAAGAAAATGCAATAAATTGTCAAAAATTCATTGCATTTCCCCCGGCCCCCAACATGAAAAATTTTCTCTGTAGGGCCATGCATTATGGTTCAAGGCATGGCCACACAGAGGAATTTTTTTCTGTTGGGGGCCGGGGGAAAATGCAATAATTGTTTGACAATTTATTGCATTTTCTTCGTTTTGGGGGATTTGTGGAAGGGGCCGCGTACCCTAGCAAACACTGCGTACAGTCATGATTCAGGGGCTTAGCAATGGCCTCGTTACTGTGAGGCCCCAGGATAAAAATCGTGTCGATCAACTATATTAGTTCCCTTTTGTGAGGCATTAATCCTCATTACTGTCATGTTTTAAGGACGTAGGTTCCCTAGCTGATTAGCATAGTAGCACACATATGATTAAGCAGTCACGTAAAACAAACACTCGCAAATTAATATTCAATAAAATCTGAGAATGTATGCCATTATCTAGATTTATTAGAAATAAATAATTTTTTAAAATCCTTCCCTAAACTGGGGTAAAAATAATTATTCCACCATTATGACCAACAGTGTATTATGAAAATGAGATAGCAAAATGTGTATATTGATGGTCATCTTGCGAGTACTCTCATCGGACTCTCATTAATTTTTCTCTTCATTTTTTTATTTTTTGTTATGGTGAATTATTGGGGGGATGATTGTACAGGCCATCCCCCCCCACCTGAAATATTGGGGGGGGGGGATATATCCCCCCATCCCCCCCCCCCCCCGGGATCGACACCCATGCTTTTTGTATTTGGTGATATGCATATTCCATGTTTGATGATTGTGTCTTTATCGTGTTCCCTTAAATTCGCCAAATACATTTCAAGTTTGAATTTCTTGCCAGCATTTTTATCTAGAGAATTGTAGAGATATTGTTTCTTGTTGAAAGTTCAGTTATTTTTGTATTCAAAGTTTTAAAGTGTATGATAATGTTTGTATGTCATGATATACAAGTGCCTCACTGTGCAGCACATCGGTCTTAAGCAATTATCTTCAAAACTAAATTGATATAGAGGTGTTGAAACAAATAAAGTTGACTGAAATCAAATACGCTCTCAATTGTTTTTATTTTTGTAATCCGTTGAGAGTAGCGCGGGTTCGTTCACTTCAGTTCAAAGTTGGTGAAAGGGATTTAGAGGAAAAACGGGAGGAACAAGGAAGTGAAAAAGGAGGAGAGGGAGAAAGAGAGAGAGAAAAAAAAGAGGGAATAATGGAGGGAGAAAATGATCAATACACGTGGAGGGGGGGGGGCGTGAGAGAAAGAGAGAAGAGCAAAATAAAAAGAGGGAGTGAGATAGGAATAAAGGATCTACATGTAAACAGGGGTGGGTGTCTGGGTGGGAAAGAGCAAGAGGAGAAGCCCCGGCCGCCCCCCTCATTCGTCATCAAGCCACTAATGTACTCCCCCCCCCCCCCTTCGATCCTTACTGAGCGAAAAATCGGTCGGCGCGATTTTCAAATTTGCGGGGGCAAAAAAAAAAAGTTCTCTCACTATGTATTATTGGGTTGAAGTTTAGAAAGTAGTCTACAAACTGTTCTGAGTAGAAATGCCTTGCTTTTGGGATTAAAAATCTCACTTCTTTATCTATTTAATTAGTCTAGGAGAAAACCAATTATTTACCAATATCATTTTTTAATGCGTTTTCAATTAGTTTTCTTTTAAAACTATTAAGAGCACTAGTATTTAGTAAATTTCCAATCTATTTCTTTAATCACGCACACACCCCCACCCGGAATATAAGCCCCCGGTATACCAACTTTCTTTCTTATAGCATATACCATCGACTAGTGCCCAAGGATAGCTAATGGACGACCTAAAAAAAATGACCTTAACCCCCCCCCCCCCCCCCCCAACGAAACGGAATGTCGATCGATCAAATTTTCAAATTTTAGGACCCCCCCCCCCCCCCAAAAAAAAAAAATAAAAAATAAAAAAAATAAAATATATATATATATATATATATATATATATCCTCTTAGAATTATCTACCGATTTACATAACAATAACATTAAGAAAAGAATTATTAAGTTGCTTCTTTAAAAATGTTTATCTATCTTAATTTTTGTTTATCTTTGATAGATCGACTCTCTATTAATTATTAGGCTAAATAACGAAAATAACGTGTTGCTCATCCGGAAGTTTTCAACAATAGAGAAGGCATGCAGGGCATTATAATTTTTAATTAAAAAAAACAAACTATTTACTATTAATCAATTTCTTTCCAAGCCGATTGTCGTCAATTAAAATATATCTATTCACAAATATTGTGCTATTTGAGTTGAGTATATGATGCAAATACAAATTTATGACAAAAACAAGTTTTAGTATCATTTTTAGACGATGTTTTATACAAATGGTATATCACGTACTAACCCTTTCTTTTTTTCTTCTTTTTTTCTTTATCTTTTTTCTTTTCTTTTCTTTTCTTTTTTTTTTTTTGGGGGGGGGGGGGGGCTTTTTAGGACTTTGTGTGTTCCTTGTTTGGGCTTTTGGGGGCTTTTTCTTAATAGTTAATAGTGAAAAAAAGGAGGCAGCGGCCAAAAAGGATGCGCCGCGCGGGGACGAAAAACACGTTATTTTTATATGGGTCGCCTTGGAAATCTTTTACCCGTAGCTGTAATCTGCAACCTGTAAAGTTCGACTCATGTACATGTACATGCTGTTGATTTTTAATAAGTAAGGGATATTCGTCACAAATTATGCCCATTCCCCCGCCCCTCCCCGCCAACAAAAATAAATAAAATAAAAATAAAATAAATGGAGACTATCAGTGGTTTTATATTACACCGTGTAGAAAGTGTCTTGTTCAAAGCCTACGTTATGCAGTTTTATAACTGCCAATTTGAAAAATTCAAAAAATGGTTTATATTTTATGTAAATACTATATATCAAAATATAAATTAATCTTTAAATAACTTGTATAACTTTATTTATATATTTTTCTGGCATTTAAAAGGATTTTAAGATAGTTACTAATTATTTAGTAAATAAAAAGCGAACAAGAAATGAAATCACTATTGGCTTACAAGCCAACGACCGAGCCGAGCAGTGCAATGTGCAAAGGGCATCTTGGGTAAATAATCCCAATACCAAATTCGTGCAGAACAAGCTGAGCAAAATGGCGACGATTACCCTCAGGAAATGTGCCCTTACCGCCGCTCGCAGATGCTTATACAGTCAAAGTTCAAGAGCAATGGCAGCTGGAGGAGGTGATTTCTTGAATTTTACTATTAGCAGTGAAATGTGTACTTCTAGTCTTGTATTATATTGTAGTTTGTGAGGTTTGGAAACTGCCGGTACGGTGCACAGGCCCCATTGCTATTGCCATTGCATTGGCCAGTCAATTCAAAACTATTCTGAATTTCTGTTTTATCAGTGCATGAATGCAGTGTGTTACTGATTCCGTTCAGTGCAGTGCAGTGTCGCTGGCGACTTAACAGAATTTTTCCTTTAAACTTAAGTTTTACTGACTTTGTCAGAGTCGTGACTTGAGCGTGTGCTGGGTGCCTGTGATAGATCTAGGCACATTCATGGGGCACTAGAGGGCGCTTCGGTCGCGTACGAAAATCTGAATGGCCTTGCTGCGGTGGGTCGGCAATAATCAGCCCAAAACTTGGATATGGGAGGTTGGAAGGCCATATATCTTTTTTATAATGTTATCCGGTCTTACCCTTAACCATCCTAGACCTAGAGTAAAGGAGCCCGTAATCGGCCAGCTCCCGTTTTCGGCCGATTGGTTGGATACAAGGTAAAATCACTCTAAAATACATCGCATAATAGCATAACACATATCCCACACATACCATACCATGCCAGTGTCACTGAAGAACCACATTTGCAATGGAAAATATATCCTAAAATATCACATTTTAGCGATGTAATCGCCGGTCCCGCTACCCAAATCTGAAAAATCGAGTATCTTACGCGTGTCTGTAAGAAATATGGGTACCATAAAATGAGCTTTATTTCAAGTATTTTTCAGATTTAAAGCCCGATTTTGTGCTAGTCGCAAGCTCAAAAGTATGTCATCGCATGTATTAAATCAATGCAGCCGCACACCGCGACGCACACACGATATCTCTATCTAATTCAGATTCCAACTTCCGATCACCGCTGTGCCCGTCTTCGGCCAGGCGAGCACCAGGGAGCTCCGGCGTGGGATACCTGCTCCGCCCGCTTGTGCTGTACATCAGCGCGGAAACGCACGGCGCGCGCGAGCGCTTCCTATTGACTTTGTACATGCGGCCGTAAACTGAAACGCTCGGCCGATAACGGGCTCCAAAACAGTGAAAATTGAAATGGATATTGTCATGGCAATTCGTGATTTTTTTCTGGGATTCTTTTTTTGTGTAAATAATAATAATATTTGCTTCATGATTTGAACAAGAAATGATAATAAATAGGAAGTAAAGAGTCCTAAAAATAGGATTTTGTCTTAAGTGGCCGAAAACGGGCTACTTTACTCTATGTTTAATCTATGTAGGAATAACATGCGAGTATGATAAGAGAAACATCGGGACCATTACTGAAGTAACTTTTAAAATATTAGCCTAGAAATGACCACCAAACGGAAAAAAATTGACATTTTTTCCGGACAAATCTTCATAAAATCTGAGTTATAAACAATTCACATCTAGGTACACTAATACAAATACGATTTTCTGAAAATTCAGGTATGATTTTTTAAGTTTCTTTCAAGTATATTTCTGCGCATTGCAGCGCCAATATTCTTCACTGCTTCAAAATCACCCTTGATTTTTTTTTTTTGCAACGAATTTGATACGAGGTCCGCGAGTGTTCCCCGTTCCTTGCGTGTTGAAAGTTTGGTAATACATAGTTTGCATTGACTCGCGCACGAAAAAATGGTCAAAAACAAAATGTCAAATGAAGAAATAAACAAGCTTTTGTATAGTTATAAAAGTTCTACCGAGGTTTCTTTGTCGATTTAATTTATTATATAGTCTCAATTAGAATTCAGAATTATCTCACTGAAAAGTTAAGAAACCGACGATGTTCTCGATCATAGTTATTTTCATTTTGCCAGCAGCCGATCTAGCGTTGTTTGGGCAAAAGCTAGGCCGCTGCCTTCCCACCGCGAACCTTTCCGAGTCCCGCTAAAATGGCGCGCTGCGGAGCTCCGAAGCTGCGTTGGTATCGCTGCAAACTCTCAGCCGCCTAGCTCCCCACGACGGACCATTCGCGGTATGGTGAGAGTGTGTGTGTGAGGTATGATTTTGGATTCGAGAACGCACGTAACGCAACCGTGCGCGTCATTTAGAGCTGTCGAATGTGTACGACCAATTTTACATGTACGATTTTTAGTACAGATACTTGGTCAGTTTTCTTCTTATATCTTTGGTTTTACAACATTTAAAAATATAATTTCTTCAAATTTGCTCCTGACTCGGTTCAGACTAATTGTCTGATGTGTTTTCAAGTCAATTTCTTGAATATATTTTTTTGCATGAATTTGCCTACCTGTGAATAGTTCTGGGACCGTCCTAAGAACTGAAAATAGGGTGTCTGATCGCGCACCAGATGTTGTGTGCTAAAATACTTCCCATAGAGCTTGCACACATCCCTATGCAGTCTACGTGCATTGCGCGACCATGAAAATTGGTCAATGATTTTATGAAAAAAATTGAAATTCAAACCTTTGGGGCTTGTGATCCTGAAGGTGAAACTCAATAAATGAGGTGTCATATGAAAGAGCAGGTTTTTCTCCATATTCCCCAAAGGGGCGCACCCCCGAAATTCTAAAAATATCTTGGTCAAAACAGCGATTTAAATGTTGTTTGCATCCTAGCTCCAAAATTTGCCACTTTCCTGAGCTGTGCCCCCCGGGCTTATGTCCGGCTAGACGTAAGGAAAATATGTATGCACTTATTTTTTCGCTAGCCCCAAGAGATCACTCGCCCCAACAGTTTAAAAATACCCTTCCCACATTTTTGGAATCAGCTAATTAGGGAGGCGTGAGCTCCGCTCAGTCCAAACCATGGTTACATCGCGTAACATCTGCGCGAATAGTGAATGAAAGTATGGATAGCTGTTCGCGCCATAGAACCCGGAAGTGAATACACGTTATAGTCAATGGCAATATCGCGATTGACTACAACGTGTATTCACTTCCGGGTTCTATGGCGTGAACGTACTAGTCAATGGCACATATCGCGGAGACAACGTGGCTCAAGCTGCAAGTCTCGCACTGGCTTAGCAACATGCGTACGCTATGCATACGCTTGCATATCGCGCGATACAGCTGTTTGTCTGAATTTAGCAAAACAACAACACTCTGCGTGGACGTCTTTTTCGTCGATTTTGACCAAAATGATATGAATATAATAGCGTTTTGGAGGGGCTGTATCTTTTGATAGAAACATCGGTGAGACTTGAAATTTGAAATGTATTATTCTGATTACATTTTTTATTCAAATAACAAACAAAAATGGTGAAAAACGATCCCAAATTGAAAATTGAAAAATCGTTCAGACACCCTACTGAAAATGAAATGAGTGCGAGTGAGACCAATGGAGACATGACTTTAAATTTATCTGAAAAGTGATAAATGATATTGATAACGATGACTCAATGAGCATTGCCATTTGTTGTGCCTTGTGAATTGTATTAAAATTTTAAATAAAGTGTCTGAACGATTTTTTCTTTTTTTTTGGTTCGTTTTCACCATTATCAGTAGGTGCACTGGTCCGAGAATAAGAATCGTCGTAATCATGGTTATCAATATCCTTGTAGTTGTAAACACATACAAATCGCGTCCTAAAAAATAAGGATCCTCTGCGCTTTCGCGAACGATCTGTGCGAAAAACAGATTCTTGGTCGTGGTCAACTTGTGGTACTGTACCTTAGACCCCAAATTCTGTCTCCTTCATTCATTACCCTCTTATTTGGGTAGGGTCAGCTACTCTCTTCAGAGACAGAAGCTGACTATAGGCATAGGGTCTGCTGTGCTGGGCACAATCATGCCAGTAAAATTTGCACTAAAATTTCACTTTAGAAGATGCATATCGGATGCATTTATACTCGAGTATTAGGCTAGGCTAAATTACATCTGTTCCACTAATACCACCTCGACCGTATAATGCGTTTTAGCGTCTTTTTTCACAATTTTCTTGGTCAACATACAATTTCGTGTTGAAAATCTTGCAGCCGTATTCTAAATCTCACTGCTCACGAATGACGTCGAAAGATGGAGGATTTATATACAAGAAATGTAGACCTCTTACAAGAGTTCGCGTTGTTAGTTCTGCCTGTAATGCAAATAGATGAAGTTTACACAAAATTAAACCCTTTTTTTGCGTTGCCAATGTGATACTTAACAATATTGCAACTACCGGTAGTACATGTATTTTTTTAAAATTCAGCGAACTCTGTGTGCAACTGTGCATGTTCCTTTAGTATACTAATGTGGAAGAGTATTTTATATCAACAAAAGCATAAGTTGCTACTTATTCAGTAACTATGGCAGATAAACAGCTACTAATTCAAAAATGATATTCATGTTAATAGTTCTTCATTTTCCAATGCTTTTTTCTCTCTCTGTTACAGGTATCCCTGACAACTTTGAACATGCCACAGGTCTAGAAAAGAAAGAACTTGACAGGATAAAGGCAGGAGACTCGGTAAGTACTATTTTTGTTTGTTTAATGCTGTGATATCCTTAAATAGATCATTCTAAAATACCATGCCATTATGGTCACAGTGTCTTCATACTCACTTGGCCATTGATGAAGGACTGTGCATTTTTGCATGATTTAAAAGGCAGGTTGTGACTAAATCCCGTTGGAAAGGCCATCAAATTTGAATTGCAATGGTCAGTTTTCAGTCAAACTTTTAATTGTTAATTGTTAAATTGTTTAATTCTTGTCACAGTGGCTCTCTTTTCATTAATGGTACATTTACCTCATTTTTAATGTTTCTTGGACCAGCTGCGGTTCAGGTTTGAAGGTACAAGTGTTTGTATCTTGTCATCTGTCTCGCTGTCATTGACATTACATAGTACTTTCAGCCGTCTTATAGGCAGCTGAAGATATATTCTGGGCAAATTATCCCTTTATACACAAAATGATGAAATTTGATTTGTTTTGTTTGTTGTTGTTGATTAGGATCCGTTCCAGCTGAATGTGAGGAGAGTAGCTGCTGGCACAAAAACTAAACCAGTTGAAGTAACATCAGCGTTCCAGAAGAGAATAGTAGGCTGTATCTGTAAGTATTCGACACCAGCCTTTCTCGTAAAGAGAATGTTGAGTGCTGGGAAAGGTGAAAAATAATTTGTGAGCATTTTCATTCATTTTATGTTAGTGTGGAAGAGTATCATAGAAAACATACCCCTGAATAAGATGGCTCTTCCAATGTGCTCATATATTTGAATTATGACAAATGATAGCTAACAGTTGTGGACCATGCTTACATGCCACATGTTTGTGTAGTTCCGTGTAACATCGCATTTGACTTTTAGCAAGACTGGGCCAATTTGTATCACTTTGTTGATTCCAAAAGCTCACAGTATACACCAATATCTTTCTGGTACATGAGCAACCTTTTGTAATTGCTTCCACACAGTTTCTTTCACATTGCAAACTCAGGACCAGGGGGGTGTTTTACAAAGATCCTAAGTAGAACTTAACTCTAAGTTGGACTTAAAAATTATGGACAGCCATTGGAGTCTTAAAATGAAATATATTCAAAAGCAGAAATTCAAGTATTTTATACTTTTTATAAATTCCACATCCAGAACATGAAATCTCCTTGAGAATAGAAAATATGAATGATTTGAATAAACAATTAATGCCTTTCACAATAACTTTTACAAAATATTTTCAAAGATGCTAATGGCTTTCCATAGTTTTTAAATCCAACTTAGAGATAAGTTCAACTTAGGATCTTTGTGAAACACCCCCCAGAACTCAACATTATTTGAAAGATATGGTTTGTCCCATTTGCAGACCTAAAAACCTGAAGCTCCATGCAATCCAGTGGTATTTTTGAAGAGGTCTATTAGGAACCTCTCACCAAACGAGAACAAAAAAAACGGAAACAGGCTTTCAACAAATAATGTTGAATGCCAGATATTTATTTGTACGTAATTCAAAATAAATATCTGTTGATATTAGAATAGCTCCCTCTGCGGCAGTATGAAAACATTGCTAGAAGTTTCAGCATCTATGACTACAAAATTTCACACACAAAATTTGAAGGATATATTTTAAATACTTGCCCTAGAAACTTTTTAGTAGGGCTTACTAATTTATTCAATCATCAGAGACCTGTTTCATAAGACGTATGATCAATAACAAATGTTCAAATGTTATAACAATCAAATAAAAGGATTTTCAGTAGCTTATAACAGTTATTGTAACTTGTCATTGATTAAGTTGTATGAAACAGGACCCTAATAACTGCAATAATGTGGGTAAAGTGTAGGATCAAAGACTTGCCCACCTCCATCTGTATAGTGATATAGAGAATCAAATTGCATGCAAATGCTCCCAAACTAACACTGAATATTCATGACTACTAGATCAGATATGTGAAATATCTATAAGTGATATCTGGTTGACAGATTTGGTAGATAATGGGTACTAATAACTGAGAAATGAGGAAAGGAATACATGGAAACCAAGACGGTCATTGCGACCACAAATCGAGCACTACAGCCTGTTGTAACCCACGTGGTTTGCTTTTCAGTGAGTGTGATTTTCACATTATCTTTGTTAGTATGTGAACCAATGTGATAATTTCTAATTCATATCTCTCTCTCTCTCTCTCCACCTCTCATTTTCAATCTCTATCTCACACTTATTTCTATGTATGTCTCCCTCTTTTCCTCCCCCTCACACTTCTTTCTCTCCGACATGTCCTGTACTCCCCCCTCTCTCTCCCTCTCTCTTTCTTCCCCTCTCCCTTCTCCCTCTCTCCCTTCTCCCTCTCTCTTTCTTCCCCTCTTCCTTCTCCCTCTCTCTCTTTCTCTCTCCCTCCCTTTTTCTCTCTCCTCCCTCTTTCTCTCTCCCTTTCTCTTTCCTCCTCTCTTCTCCCCTCCAACCCTTTTCCCCTCCAACCCTTTTCCCTCCCTCCCTCCCTCTTTCTCTCTCCCTCCCTCCCTCTTTCTCCCTCCCTCTCCCTCCCTCTTTCTTTTTCCTCTCTTCTCCCTCTATTTTCCTTTCCCTCCTTCTCTCTCTATCTCTTCCCCTCTAACTCTTTTCCCTTTCCTCTCCCTCTCTCTCTCTCATTGTTTCTCATATAGGTGAAGAGGAGCAGACGCACATCAACTGGATGTGGCTGTACACTGGTGAACCTCAGAGGTGTGAGTGTGGACACTGGTTCAAGCTCCAAGAGGTGGAAGGTATAGCCGCTGCCGCCCACTAACCCATGAAACCAATGACAACAATAACGACAACAACAACCATCCAGTACCCCTCACCGTTCCTAAAACATCCTCATTGTCTTCAAAAATTGATGTATCTTCTGAAAACCAGATTACATGCATTATGATAATTGAGCATGTTTGATGTGAATTTTAACGGTTGCGGGTATGCGTGATTGTAATAATTATATATAGCAAACAAGATTTTATTGAGGAAGATAAAGAGTTTGTGGATGTTTGTGTTCCTTTTTGTGCGATTCTACAAATGAAGGCCTATTATAATTTATAGTGATTAAATTGCCGTTACCAAGTTAATGAACGATTTCCATTGTACCATATTCACACAGCAACGATGAAATAAGAAAAGAGAAAAACATAATTAATACAGTATGTATCATACGTTTTGTTGTTTAAAGTCTCGGTTGGTTGATGAATGAGATGAATAGTTTTAAAGGAGTTTATAGCAAAATATTTGTGCTATTATCTATTTTCCCACCAAAACCGATGAGTGACTTTTCAAATTGAGTTGTTGCATTTTAATCTACGTTTTGAAGAGTAATAATCAAATTATATTATTCAAATCCTATCTAGTTTGTTCATCAGCAATTTTACCCTGTTGTAAAATATTTCGGATCACTTTCTTTCTATGGGGAAAAAATTACAAAAATGCGGTAAAGTGATAATCTGCAAAGCATTTTGTCCTCAGGAGGAGTCGAAACAAAATTCAAGCAATGCAATCAAAAGTTAACCCTTGTCATTACTGTTGAAAGCAGTCCTATGTATTGTATATGCCCAGTGTCTTACCTCAGAAATGGTACAGATTAGATTTGTTTTGTTATTTTGTGAGAAAGTAATGGATTCTATGTGTGAATGGGAAGATGACTCTGAAAAGGGGGACTGCACATGTAGCAGACACTGGTTTGTTAAGCCTTGTAATATATGTGGTTTAATTAAACCTTGTTGAAACGATTAATATCTTGATTTGTCTAGTCTTTCAGAAGTGGTGCGTCTATGATTATGTTAGTTCATCATTTTAAAGGTACTATGTCCCATTTGCAGCCAACATCAAATTCTGTAGAACTTTGCAGGAATTATATATGTCCTATCTGTGAAATTTAAACATTGGCAGTGTCCCAGTATTCAAATTACGCAGGGAAACCTGTTTACTTTCTAGACTTCACTGTCAGACACTATTGAGTGACTGACTGACTTCATCTTTTCTTTGGTAATAACATACATAAGATACATGAGCATTTGTCGGCGCTAGTGTAGTTCCGTATCAATTTTTTTAGCAGTTTAATATCCATTCTTAGCAAATGAATTTTAGCCCAATTTTTGACTAATTTTAATCATAATCATATATTGCATTTTCCACCTTAATTTGGATCACATCCTTTGACTAATTTTAATCATAATCATATATTGCATTTTCCACCTTAATTTGGATCACATCCGACATCGGGAAACCTTCGTTTAGGGCTTCGATGTCGACGTCGTCGCTCAGTACCGTCTCTACGCTGCAGTCCTGCACCTCAAACTGAAGCTATCAGTACAAAATTATGCAGACTTCTCGTATGGTTTATGGTATCGCGCATACGAGAAGTCTGCATAATTTTAGACTGATAGCTTCAGTTTGAGGTGCAGGACTACAGCGTAGTCGTAGACAGTACTTAGCGAGGACGTTGACATCAAAGTCTTAAACGAAGGTTTCCTGATGTCGAATGTGATCCAAATTCAGGTGGAAAATGCAATTGCAAAAATTGGGCTAAAATTCCTTTGCTAAGAATGGATTTTTAAACTGCTAAAAAAATGGATACGGAACTACACTAGCGCCCATTTGTCTACATCAATAACTCACTACTTGGAATGGCCAAAATTAAGCTGATTGACTCTTTGTCCAGCACAAAACGTACGACAATGTTGAATGGGTCTGAAAATCAGACTATTTACTAAAAGGATTGCAATCCCTAAAGTCGATTTGACAACTTACGGTCCTTATTTTCTCACAAAAAGACATTTTCAAGCCCTTTCATTTTGAGGGAAGTTCTAAATAAGTATTATCATTAATTGTCATTGGAATGTAACCTTTTCATTTTGGGGGCCTGCAAATGGGACATAGTACCTTTAAGACAGAGATAGTTTGAGAAAGGGACAGGGGAGAGAAAGAAACTTAATAAATGATGACAAGGGAGGTCGTAAGCAAGAAAGGATAGAAAATAGAGAGCAGGGTGTGAGCAAGGAGTGTGAGCAAGGAGAGTGGGCAAAATAAGAAAATGAAACCGAGAGTTCGAGAGGTGAAAAACACATTCATACCATGAGAAGTGGTGATTACAGAAGAAAAGACAATTAAGAGGCATTAAATCGAAATGACAGATAAGATACTTCATAATCTTATTCAGGATAAATGCACAAAGAAAGAATGAAAGCATATCCAATTCTTTAGATGAAAGCATGCAAACAAGATTCAATCTAGTATCGCAAGATCATGAAGAGGTGTTGTTGAGTTGAGTGGTTTGGAGATGGTGCACACTGTGCGTGAATCAATCTAATAACCAGGGTAATAATATTTGTAAAGCGATTTGAGGCGGTATTTTGTATCAAATGCTATAGCTCCTCTATAAATCCATGTGTTGTAATAAGAGTTAGCTCAATAATTTTTGGGATGAAGTCATTGTAATTGTACTGAATAAACATGTACCTTAATCGTTTTATTGTTTTGCCACTTCACAACGTCATTCATTTTATGAGATGATATTACCTGGACTTTATATTTCTTTAATGAGAGCAAACATCAATGTTTCAGTACTTTATGTGGAGAAAGCAAACATAAGAAAACATGTCCCATTAAACACTATGTTACATATGAACAAAGTTTTTTGCTACATGGAAAACATGGTACATGTGTGCACAGTTGTGATAACAAATGTAACTCTCTAAATATCTGCAGTCACTAGGTTCAATAATTTGAGCAAATGTCTCTAGGAATTATTATATATTAAGCCATAAACATTTTTTTCTTGTATATGTAAGTAAATATCACTTGTGACCATTTCCATGTGAAAACATAACTGTCCATCATTACTCCATAGGTTCAAAGTATAAGCTTTCTCCTGCATGTTCAAATTCTCCAAAAGGGTTCTTATGACCTTCTGATTCTGGGTGGGTCATATTCTTCTCCATGCAACTCTTCTGAGGAAGTTGAATTGCAATCGGCTCGTGGAACACTTCTTTTCTGTTTGTCAAGGTTTCCTTGGGTCTGGGAAGGGGTGCTGGGGGCCTGGGCGTATGTCTACTGGTTTGATCTTTCAAGTAGCTCTGGGTGTTGTCGCAACTGACGCGCCGTTGTAGGACCAATGACCTGTTGCCATGCCAACTCCTCTGTCGATGAGGCATTGCGTCTGATGATCTGTGCTGCCTATGAAGTCTCGTAGGTTCCCGTGCACTCCTACTGCGACGATGAGTACCGGTTGTTGCCAATGATGTATGAAACTTCCTTGTCGCCTTTGGAGAGTCCTGAAGGTAACCAAGTGATGTCCTCTCAGCCACTGGATAGGACAGTCTGGAAGACTTCCCATTGCTGCATGTATCTTCCTGGTGGGCAACTGATGAAGCTGTGGTGGTACTGACAAAAGCCTTGGGTAAGACACTGGATGGAAGTCTCTGTGTAGTTGTACTGACTTTTAGTCCTGGGAACTCGATCAATGAAGAATCATGTGCATGAAAGTCATGTTCCTCGGGAGACTTCACCCGGTCTTCCGTACTTGAGCAATGTACTTGTAATGGATGCTTGTGAAGTGACCGTCCATCAGACTGGGTTTGTTCCATTCCAGAAACCTCCTTTCTTATACTGGGAATAGTGTCACACAGAGGGACTGAGTTGTGGAAAGAGCAGCACTGGCGGATGTGCTCCATAATGACCCCTCCTGCCAAGCTTGCGGATGCTTCAGTTCTCAAGGTTTGGTGATATCTCTCCAACTCTGTAGACTGCCCACAGTTCCCAAAATGACTATGAAGATTACACGATGACTGCAGCGCATCATGGCATGGACAACGGACAAGTTCTTGAGGAGGAGAGTGCACAATGACACTCCAGTGTCTCCCCCCAGTGCTGCTGATGGTGCTTTTACCATTACATAATTTACAGTCTGGTTCTGCTTGATTTCCTGATATTCTAGATAGTTCTGATTTTCCATACAGTTCTTGAGGATTGCTGTTACTAACCTGACCTAAATCAGTCTTGACTTGGTTGTCTTGACTGTCCAGCTTTATATCAAGAAGCATAACCGAGGTCGAGTCATCCATTTCTGACGATACAGAAGATCTTGACGGCGCTACTCCTTTGTGACTAACATTTTGATAACGAGCAGGCAAGGGAGGGTCACTGATGTTGAAATAGATCTGTTCTCTCCATCTGCATGCTCGCCTAGGAAAGACTACCCAGCCCAAAACGATCAATAAAGTCAAAGAAAGCACTGCAAGAAACACTATGATGCCCATCTTCAGGTCAAACTTGCTTGACATAACAGGAAGTGATTCAGGGACCATGGCGGATGTTTTCATTGTCCTTAAAATCTGGTACTGTCCATTAGTTTGAAGGTCAGGTACTACTGATGGAAGGTTTATTGTTGGAGGAGTAGATGGTGAGCAGGTAAAATTGTCTCTGGGAACATTTTGGATAAACTTGCCAGACAGACTATCTGGTTTGTTGCACTCTGCGTCAAGTAAACTTGATACTCTGTTGAGCTCTGCATAGCGGCCTTTCAGGAAGAGTTCATCTGGACTCAACATTATTCTTGATATTCTGCCAGAGTCCATCCAGACCTTAAGCCAGTAGATATGGCAATCACACAGTAGTGGGTTTCCTTCCAATCTGATATCTGTCACCGTACTGTCATTTAACATGTCCAGTTGTGACAAGGTTGTGAGAATGTTAGCTCGCAGATCAACAGCATGGTGATTTTGCAGAGGCTTGAAGACACTTGCTGGAACATCCTGGAGATGGTTATTACTGAAATCAAGAATGACAATGTTTGGACAGGAAACGAATATGTCTTCTGACAGATGTTCTACTTTGTTGTGAGAGATGTTGATGTATTGAAGAATTCCAAGACCGTTACACCAATCATTCTGCAGCGTGGTGATGTTATTCAAGGCCACTGTTAACTCTATCAACGCTGTCAGGTTGGTGAAGGCATTTCTTGGCAAAGTTGTAATGTCATTACTGTCCATCCTGATATGTTGCAAGCCAACAAGAGAAGCAAGTCCCAATGCTGGGACCTCTGAAAAGACATTTCCACTCAGAATCAATTCGTTCAAAACTTCCAGTCCCGCAAACGAGTCTGATGACAATGCTCTCAGAAGATTATAACCAAGATTCAACTTCCTTAACTGTTCCAAACCGAGGAAAGCACCACCTTCTAATACTTCTAGAAGATTGTTCTGCAAGTGCACTACTTGCAATTGTGGTAAGCAACCAAAGGCATGGCTGGGCAACAGTGTAATCAAATTACCATCAAGATGCAAGTACTGCAATCGGTCGAGACCAATGAAAGTTGCATTTCTAATACTCCTTAGTTTATTGTTGCTGAGGTAGAGGTATTGCAACTTTGACAGATTCTGCGCCCAGCCGTCATGTAAGGTGGTGATGTCGTTGACTGACAGATCGAGATAGCACAGCCTGGAGAGGTTTGCAAAGTCAGAGGTATGTATCGCAGTCAGGTTATTCTCTCGCAGCTCTGCGGCACTGGCATTTCCATGAGGATCTAGACCTTTGGGGAAGGTGGTTAGCTGCCGTCCAGAACAGACGGTACACTCCTGGTAGTTGTGGTAGAGGATGGGATTGAACGGACACTTCCTCCGTAACTCACATGGGTTGTCTTGGAGTGCTGGGAGAGCATTTGTACAAGTTGTTTGAAGTGGACTCAGGATCACAGAGACAACTGCAATCATCAAAATAGACTGCAGTTTTCTGGA